CTGGGCAGTGTCTTAGTGCCGTCCAGGTAGCAACAGCAGCCAGAGTAGTCCTGGTTTCATGTCTCATATGTTTTCTTTTCTTTTTTTTAAGATTTATTTTATTTTTGCAGGGCCCTCCCCAGTGGCGAAGCGGGTTAAAGCGCAGCACTATTCACTCGCCGCAGCCGCTGCAGCATGAGCTCCACCCCATGAGCTCCACCCCGGCCAGGGCGCTGCCCCACATGGCGAAGGGCCGCTCCTGACCTGCCCGCTGCTCCTTTCAGCAGTGTATTTCAGTAGCTCTGCCTGGTTTGCTCCCTACGCTGTTTCTGGTGATTCCTCACTCCCCACACCTCTGGTCTGTACCCCAGTTCTCTATGCATAAGTAAACAAATATTTTTAAAAAGGATTTTATTTTTGCATAGAAGACTGGATTGTAGGCCAGAGGTATGGAAGGGTGAGAGGATTCACCAGAAACAGAGTGGGGAACAGACCAGGTGGACTGACTGACTGAAATACACTGCTGGGGGGAGCAGTGGGCGAGACAGGAGAGGTCTGTAGCGCCACATGGGTCAGCTCCCTGGCTGGGGAATTGAACTCAGGGCTGAACTCAGGGCTATGACGTGCTAACACTGAGATTTAACCTGTAGGCCACAAGGGAGGCCTGTTTCATACACTTTCAATTTATCTGTTAACAAAAACAGCCCAAAAGGAGTAAGTTTAGTGCTGGGAGTTTTACTTGAGACCATTTTAGGGGAGTTTATGGATTAGAAATTAGAGAAACATTAAATGTATCTGAAGGCTACAAGGGCTAGCTCAGGCATTGTTTTGGGATTACCTTTATTGGACATTCTGGTGTTGAAATGAATTATCTGTCTTCCACCTATCAATATCAGTGGAGAAATTCCCCAGGGGGTATAGACTCTAGTAGATGGTCAGTCTAGATCCTCTCGTGGTTTCAAGTCCTGCCCTGTGACCCCAATCATAGTTCTGATCTTTTCCTTCCCCAGTTGGAAAGGAGGAAGTCTCATTCACATTGCACATATCTTTGGACCAGGGATGTGGCTTCCCAGCCCCGGGAGGTGTTGTGGTAGAGTTCATGTAAGAGGTCACTTCACCGATGTCTCACCATCTGACCTCTTGTGTTCTTACACAATGGGATATTGTGTTTACATATGCTCTGTTTGTGTACATCCCAGGAGATGACTACAGGGATTCGATTTGTCCCTCTTGTCTCCCGAAAGTCTGCAGCAGGTATACCTGAGGAATGGGTGTCCTGTACCAATCTGAAGAGGGAGTCAGATTGGAGGGGACCCTCTCCTTGGCCTGTGCCGAGATCCCCTGCCTTCCCCACCCCACCATGGCGTAGGCCACAAGAGGGTTTGCTGGTGCCCCCAACCCAAGGCCCAGGCTGAATTGGGGTTCCTGGCTAGTACCTCCAGCCAGCTGAGTGTTTGTTTTGTATCCATCAATTTTCCTGAGTTTATTAGTTCTAGTTTTCTTTTGAATTTTCTCTATGTGGGATCACATCATCTGTAACAGAGATGCTTTTACTTCTTATCCAAGTCGTCTTTTTGTAAAATTTCTTCCCCCCCTCCACAAGTTTCAGATGTAAGCGCCTACAAAATAGACAAACATGATTTGGTGCATTTAGAGGGAAGTATTGCCTGGCTCAATGAAAACTTTTGTGGATGGCTTCTGGAAGACATACATTTTTAAGTAGCTTTATAGTGAAGTTACTATTATTTATTTTTAAGATTTATTTATTCATACAGAACTGAGGTACAGGCCAGAGGTGCAGGGGCAGTGAAAGGATACACTAGAGACAGGATGGGAGGAACAGAACAGGCAGATTGATGAAGTACACTGCTGAGGGGAGCAGAGGGCGGGTCAGGAGGGGTCTGCTGTGCCATGTGGGTCAGCTCCCTGGTTGGGGATTGAACTGGTGCTGAGGCTGTGCAGCTAGCTTACAATGTTGCACTTTAACCCATTGCACCACCAGGGAGGGCCCTATAGTGAAGTAGTTAATTTAGAAGTCAGGATCTTTGTTTTTAAGATTTACTTTATTTGGCCCTCCCTGGTGGTGCAGCGGGTTAAAGCACAGCACTGAGAATCTGAGGCCGCTTCCGCATGAGTTCCATTCCCGCCTGCCCCGGAGGTGACCACATGGTCACCTGTACCCCAGTTCTGTATGCACAAATAAAAAAAAATCTTTTTTTTTTTAAAAAAGAGATTTACTTTATTTGTTTGGGAGGGGTGAGGGGTGAGAGTATTCACCAAAGACAAAGTGGGGAATAGAACAGGTAGAGTGAAGTACACGGCAGCAGGGAACAGTGGGCAGGTGAGACAGGAGAGGTCTCCTGCCATGTGGATCAGCTCCCTTCAGTGGCTGCCGATAGCTTGATAGTGCTGTGACTTAACCCCTTGCACCACCAGGGAGGCCCCATGTCTGGACCTTCTTTCTTTACTTAGCTGTGCTCTACATTCACTGAGTAAGTTTGTATTACTCATTGGGAGCTCTTTGTTCTAATGTTCTGGGTTATTTTTTCTGTCACAACTGGTACCTAGATTGAACAGAGCCAGAGGCATGACAAGCCCTGCTTCAACACCTCTCACTTGAATGAATATGAAGAGGGAATCAAGCTAGGTTACTGCTGGGCCTGACTAAGGATCTGAGGGCGTGTGTGTGTGTGTGTGTGTGTGTGTGTGTGTGTGTGTG